CCTTCTGCACACAACGAAAGCAGCTGTGCGAAGTTCATCGGCAGTTGTAGGGGCTGGTCGCACATACTACAGACGTCTTTTAATCTCATCCCACAATGGGGTTTAAATCAGGACTGAATCCTGGAGGGAAGGTCGTCTGTGGTCTGTGTTGCGTTGTATCGATGCTGGAGACGGTTGATCGTGTAATTTTTACGTTGAAATGACGGGGGACATGCACGACAGAATCTCCAGCTTCCAAACGCCTGATTTCTCTCTATTTGAGTTAAGCGTGGCATTGTTGAACAAGGAGTAATAGGCCCAGTTTTTGTGGACAGTCTTATACCTAGTAATGGTGGTGACAATTAGTGTATTGCAAGGGAAATGTGTGCATGATACCCACATGTTTATTGGCATGGTGCGTTTTGGGGATTCCTTCTTTTGATGTGTTTTTACTCGGGTATTACAAAACAAAACTTATTGATAACACCATCAGACTTCACTATATGCCAAAAACATATCTGTTTAGGGTTCTGTGAGTTTGTCTCCTATTTGGATAAAAAAAACTAACGTTTCTTATGGGTGTGAGTATATGTAAAGGAAATACACAATGTGTTTATAGAAACGTAAGAAGATGACGTGACGAGGTATTGATTTAAGATAACGGAAAATTAACCAGTAGTAAACCAACCATATGCGAAACAAACATACCGTATACAAAATTATTAACGCAGTAGTCTACCATATGGAGTCATTAGACGGGATGACCCTAAGCAAAACCTATATATACAGATACATATCTTTAAATGAACATCATTACACTCTATAACGCTATGATATCATGAAAGAAGTTAATATTATAACGTGAGAGCAACATTTCTTATAAACAGTTCGACTTATAAACAAAGGCTATTTGCATTTATGCAAGGAATATTCCCACAGCTCCTACCTAGTTTTGACAAGTTTTGAAGTTCAATCACGCACACGTCTTGTACGCAGATTTCAAAGACCGTCATATGAGATTTGCACAACAGTTGTTCAATCAGAGTTAAAATAGTACTTACCTTTATGAAGCTTTCAAGAAATGTCATGGAAGAGATTTCGAAATTCCGAAATTTGTCAAATTGGAGAGAAAAATGTTTGTTTGAGATCCTTATCTTGACTCCTTCCCCCATGTGCCTTTTGCATGTGTTTGCGAATATCTGATGCCATTATAGAGATGTAGTGCTACCATAAACTCTAAACAACATACAGCGGGTGGCCACAATATTACGTACACTGATGGCGGCCGTTTATTCAAATGGTGATAGAGCATGAAACAAAGGGTGACTTACCTCAATACTTGGTCATATGACCCTTGTTCCTCAGAATTTTCACCATTCTCTGTGGAATTGATCTGTACAAATTGTGTATGTAGTTAACCGGCGTGTTTTGCCAGATATCCCTGATTTCTCTCTCGAGATCAGCTGCCGACTGAATACATTTCCAACTTATTCCAACTTGTTTTTCAACATCAACCAACAATTTTCAATTATATTGGCATCCGGTGATGTGCAGGCCATACCATGCCATTTATGTCTATAGGTTCGTACAATTCGGGCCCGATGCACAGGGGCATTATCGTCTTGGAAGATATAATTATTTCCAGGAAAATGACCTGCTACAACAGGCCAGAGGTGAGAATCAATTATGTCTATATATCTCTGGGCATTTATATTGTCCCGACACCATGCCAAGTAATGCAGGCCCATATCATCAAACTCAGTCGAGGCTGCCGACCTGGGTACATGCATTCGGGTAGGTACTCTTCGCCGGGCTGTCTCCAAATATAGACACTATTATTTACTCCAAGAATAACCTTGCATGCATCACTGAATATTACTCTATTCCAGTAATTATCTACAGTTTTGTACCTTTGCTCCCTTGCCCATGCGAGACGTTTTCTGCTGTTGTTCTCTCGAATTCGTATTTTCTAACGATACGCCTGTGAAATGTATTCTCATGTAAAACCCTTCTAATTGTCCTCTTTGGGACAGGGGAATTCCTACCCCTATTAAAAATGTTGGTAATTTCATGTAAAGGTACGGTGCGATTGTCTTTCACGATCCGAAACAACTGTCTCCTACCTCTCTGTGACACCTTGGCTACACGACCTGTTCGATGGCGATTTTCTATCGAGCTTCTTCGTTGAAAACGGTTTACACAAAAATAAACAGTACTTCTGGGCAAGCCCAATTGTTTTGCAATAGCTGAACAATAATGGCCATCTTGATATCGTTCTACAATAATAGTTTTAACGGCTGAAGGCAAGTCTTGGATTTTCCCATGTCGACAAAACTAGCAGACGGAAGCGAGCAGACGACTTTGTCAGTCACGTGAGTGTCACGTGACGATAGGGCGTGTTCGGTTCTACTATTTTGCTAAGTTTGGTTATGTTTACAGTGGTAGTTTTCAAACACGATAGTTTCAAAGGAAGATAAATTTCTAAACTTACTAAAAAATATGGACAGTGTACATAATATATTGGCCACCCGCTGTAGTTGGAAGTCGATATGAACCTATTAATCACAGTTACTGTTTATACATGTATACAGACGATAATATAACTCTTCGATAATCGTACGCATACTCCACGAAAAGATATTTTTGTACGATCCGACATAGACCTATCACACAGAGTAAAGTTCATACACGTAGGTGTGGGTAAGCTAACGCATAGTAAAACGGTAGTCTGCCAAAAACAGAATACAATTATGTCAATGGTCCTTATTCTATGAAACTGAGAAGTTGTCAAAAAAAAAATGTTACAAGAACTGTGCTCATCGTTAGTTCAGTTTGTTATAAACAACTATTGTTTCAGCGCATTGATATCCCCGATTCCTGCAAAATCTGCCAAAATGCTCGTCTCTCAGTCGATGAATGTAAATCGCTAAAACGAGTGAGAATGCATGGTTCCGACCGATCGCCCTTCAACCAATCAGATGGCGTCTTTCCGTTACCGCGGGATAGCTTGTTGCTAAGGCGCCATTAAGTCCCCCAAGCTTTCGGTTGTCAGGACATTTGACCCTGCAAAGTAGAATTTGATAATCAATGTACTGTTTTGACAGCATTTCAAGACCAACAGCAGAGTTCCCATACCCGATTGCTATTGGGGAAAGGCGACACCAGCCGGGCTACCACCAAGAAAGAGGATCTGTCTGGATACCTGTGATTCATCTCTAAATTATTTTTTAAAAAAAAAGAAAGAAGTGTATATAACAGTTTAACATTTAAAGAATACAATGCCTACACCATTAAGAGTTGTTTTCATGTTTTTGTGCTTATATTGCAAACTTTACTATAATTATTTAAAAAAGAGTTTGTCAATGTCACAAACATCGGTACGTAAGAAACAACACAACGAAAGAATAGTACCTCATTTATTTATTTATTTATCTCCTCTCTTTTCAGTGTATTATGATTTTATTTAACCCCAAAATTTGGTGAATGAAGAAATATTATAAACTTATTTGATGCATCCCCAAAACTTATAACCATGTTATTATGAAACAAGAGCGATAACAACAACATATAAATATAACATGACAAGCATAAAAATATCAACACAAAACTTAATTGTGACTGATATGAAGTACACCTGAAGTGGTTGACCTCAAAGTTGTGTAATTATGATAAATTATTCATAATTTGATGCATGTAAAGAAGACTAGTGCGATAACAAAATATACCCGTAAATAAAACTAACAAATCTAAAATAACAAAAGAAAAAGATTAAACCATTGTGTAAGATGAATAATCTGTCAAAACTAAATGAGATCTATACATGGAGATGAATATATAGAAAATATATGAATATAAAGAAAATTATATCAAAGTAAAGTGACAACAGGCTATAAGGGTAAATTACTTACTCTCATAAAATTACCTAATTTAGATTTACAAAAAATATATTACAATATTGGCACATATTACTACAAATAACTTTTTTCTAAAAAATTGTTATTTCAGAGAACTGTTTCAAAGAGATAGAGAAAATGACCCCAGGAAGTGTCTGTAGAACAGAATCAAGGTACACAGACTGATGAATCGTGTAAGTATAACATGGAAAGCTCAGTTGGGGGCCAACAGTTATGGCACTTAAGGCAAAATCTTCATTGCATATTTTTCAGTTGAAGTTGATCGTATTAGGAAATCAAAACCATTGGGCCATTAAATCAATTTAAAACATTTTAAGTTGTAAAGCCAATTTCAAGATCTTTCATAACAAGAAGGAGACAGTGTTTTTCCTGATATAGGATAGTGAACAATGAATATCCAAAAGCACTTGATAGTTAACACCATCAATTATTGTACAATTTACATGTCAAGAAATGGCTTTGCATGTTCTCTAAAGAATGTACAAAGCTTTTCTAGCATAATGAATTTGTGGTTAACACCAAAAAAGACTTGTACATGAGCGTATTTTCCCAGACATTGAATACATGACATGTATTATACATGTCATGTGTTCAATGTCTGGGAAAATACGCTCATGTACAAGTTTTTGGTGTTAACCACAAATTCACAGAACTAAGCCCTAGTTACCATTAACTGTCCCTGGACTTGGGCATAATGAGCATGTCTTTTGGATAGTTTTAGAATGGCAATTTCCTCCTTCTGCAAAAATAAATTTGTTATCTTTTCCCATGCTTCTTCAAGTGTAAAGTGTCGAGCTGAGTTCAGGCATTCAATTTCAATAATCCTGTTCTCCTGTTCAGGACAACATATCTTGCCATCAGGAGTGGCTCCAAGGAAACTGAAATTATTGTTGATTACTAGTCCACTCTCATGTAGATGGTTTGAGATTTTGTGTTCTGAATATCTTTTCTTGGCCTGTACTTCATTGTTCTTCCCATAGGAAAGAGATACTGAATGTAATGAAGTCTTGGGAAATAGACTGTTGAGAAAAGATAGTGTAGGATTCTTCTTTCTGTTCATAACCTTTCCAAAGTTGGAAGCTCAAAGACGATTAGATCTTATATCTTTTCCAGGATCTGTAAGTTGATACTGGGCATTAAGATCTTCATACCCAGGAGCGAGTTGTACAGGTGACACTTTCGAAAACTTGATGGGGGCGGACGTAGTTGATACTGCAGGTGATTTTCAGTCTGAAAATAAGAAATTAAATCATTCGAAATAATTACTTTAAGCCCTGACACATTCTTTTTATGTATTTCATTCCAAATTAAAAATTTAGCCTGTTATTTTTCAGTCATCACTCCACTTGAGCAACGCCAGACAGTCCAAATTCATAATCTGAGATGCCAGGTAGAAGATCAAGGGCAACAGATCAAGGACATGAAGAACATTTTAAAGGAAAAAGACAAGGAAATTGTAAAGTCGAAGGAGGAACTTAAGAAATGTCAAAGATTTAATGTGACCAGTGCCTTAGAGAGATCAGGGAAACTCAAGGGCCTGTTTAAATACTACACAGGCATTACTTATGTCAGGTTTCTTCCCTTATTCAGTTATTGGCCTTCCTTCTGCCAGGTGATGATGCATCATGTTTGCATTATGAGAAAGGTCGCCGTGACATTAGATCCTTATCTACTAAAGATTGCTTGTTCCTGACTCTATGTCGACTGTGCCACAGTTTTGGATTAATATACCTCGCTATGCGTTTTGGACTGTCATTGCAATCAAGTGGTGTAATATTCAATACCTGGATTGAACACATGTACTTGAAAATGAGCCAGTTAAGTATATGGCCACATAAAAGTATAAAATACTTCAAATTATGCCTGCAAAATTTAGAAAGGAATATAATTCATCACTGATCATTAGTGATGGGACAGAACTGAAGACTCAAGTACCCTGTGCTTTAGGGTTACTATCTCAGCTATACAGTGACTATAAGTCAAGTACTACCTTAAAGTGTCTTGTATGTTGTGCCCATTGTGGTTCATTGGCATTTGTTTCTGAATTGTTTACAGGTTCAATTTCAGATAAAGCCTTAACTGATCAATCAGGATTTTATGATGCTGTACGAGGCAGGTACAAGAATAGATCTATGTTGTTGCATCCTGTGATATGAATGTGATACTAGTCTCTATGAAATAAACATAATTTCATTTACATGAAATGTTAGTCTTGTTACTGAAAAAAAGATTTACTGATTGTTATGTTTAACTTTTTTGAAGAACAGGATCCACGTCCCTATAGATTAAAGCATTACCTGATATGACAAGACTGATCCCAAGCTGGACGTCTCCGAGCAGAGTGTTTACAGTCACCGGGGTGTTTCTGTCTGTAGCACATACTGCAGTGGGGTATCCTTAAGATCCTGTACCTCATTGACGTCAGCGTCACTAACATGTGGAAGTCTCTAACAATATTCATCTACATTTTATTCATTTGACACACAGTTTCTGAAAATTTTAAAAATATATATCCTTACTTCATTATGCGTATATACTCTTTTTATAGACCATTAAGACCAACTTTAAACCTGCACCTGTTTTAGTGATTATGTGCAAAACAGTTTTCACCAATTAAAATGCAAAAGTGACAATTTTGAAAAATCTAAAACTATTTTCAAAACATCCATACCTTGTGTCATTCAACTTGACAAATGATTGGCTTCCTTTTTCTAGACTGGGCAAGAGGTTGAGCCACAATCACTTGGTTGATAGGCACTGGGCTGATCTTGTTGCCCCTGTGAATCTGCCACTGTTGCTGGAAGCTGGTGCAACTCTGTTGAGCAAAGAAAATCTAAATATTTTTTTTATCAAAATGAAATACCATTGCATCAGGAAAAACATGTAACCCAAAATCATGTTACTTATTTTTAAATGTATCAAAATGAACATATATTGTGAAATCACAAATAGTCTAAATTTTATTTTCAGTAGATTCTAACTTTTAATTTCATTAAAATCTATTTATAGTACATTCTGTGCTAGGCATGGTGTTTCATTAATAAGTTTATTTTGAAACCGTATATTACTAGCCCTATGTGTAACATTTGGAGGCTGATCGAAAACTGAACAAGTGAATTTTACGGTTCATTTTAATTACTGAATGGATAAATATTCTGTTTCATTTTTTTCCGATAGTATATGTAAACCTGATGTACAATAAATACAAAAGTGTAAACATTCGTCATGTTTTGCTGCCAAACTTCGATAGGACTAGAAATAAATCAAGACACCAGTCATAACCTGACGAGAGCAAATGAGCGGTCAATGCACCATTGAAATGACAATCTCTTAATCTATCGACTCTGATTTCAAGTGATTTATATGAGGATTAACCGATTTCTTATCAATGACATACTTACCCAGCTTTACAAGAACAATTACAATAGTAGCTGTGAACAATGTTCTCGGCGCGTGTGTCAATCCTCAAATGGAGGGTGTGCGGGCTCCAATATTTCGACATTGACCGCCAGAACATGGCATCAGTGTCAGAGGTGTTGTCACGGCTATAAACTCGTATCTCATGGATATAACCCCGTGAAAAAAATAGTTTAAGCCTTTCTCTTCCGATGCTGCGTCAAAGTAGGATGATCTGGCAAAAATGCAACAGATATTGTGTCGGGAACTGTCAACAGACAAACGGTGCCTGACAGTGTATCCGCCATTTTGACAGCTCGGCATCACAAAGCTTGGGGGACGTAGCAACAGTAACCAAGGTGGGCGGAGCTTGGCTCGGAAGTCGGAACTATGAATACGAATGTGTGTTCATTAAATTAGTCCTTCCTTAATATATTTGTTTATTATTCGCCCGTGGAATATACAGCAGTGTAACAATTTCACGGCAATATTACACGAGTGTAAAACCGCTGAACGTATGACATGATAATGCTTTAGTTATGACGTCACAATAATAATACCTCTGTCACAATGGTATTAGACCTTGCTTCACTCACGGAAAGCTGAGAGTCATCACACACTGTAGGCGGTTTCTATCAATTTATGTTGGAGAGTATTAAATAATACTAAACTCGCTTCAGTGAAATAATATTTGTATTAAATTCGTGAAGATTTAGCATCAAACTCGCTTTCGCTCTTTTGATGCCAAATCATTAACTCATTTAATATAATGGTATTACATGGAAGCGAGTTTAGTATCCTCTATTTATAAGTATAGTTAGTATTTACAGCCACACCAAATTAACAGTCACCATGCTGATTAGCATCCACAAGGTGAGAGTGTTTCGCTTTGCCCTTTTGCACCTGAACGTAAACAGACCCAAATTGAAGACATGGTCATCAACAAAAATATCGCTATTCGGATTTTCCCGACAAATGGTCACAAAAAAGAAAGTACTCGTATATGTTGCTGTAAGCTGCTTTAACATTCTTCTACCAACGTTTCGAAAGGGTACACCAACAATGAGCCTAATTCATTGTAGTACTACTCATATTCTGAGTAATGAAACCTCAGTCAAGGTTACGTTTTGATCACTAGACTCTATGACTGCAGCTGGACAAAATGAGCATATCCATGATGCATGCATAAATGCAGTGCTTTACAGTTGAGTAGATCAGAATAAAAACTATTCTGTCGTTAAACAAGTATTTGATACGGCCCATAATAGGGAGTGAATGCTCCTGAATACCGCGTCAGCAATTTTGCATCAGCTGTTCGCCGCGAGGGAGAAGTGTATGTTTCGCCAAGCTGATTTTTAGATAACAAGCGAAAGATCAGTGTGTGAGCGTGTGAGAGCGAAGGCTTAAGCCGTTTTAACAATAATCACGATGGGGCCAACAAACAAAGGGCTGCAAACTTTGTAATGGAATCTAAACCGGGCCTTCGGCATGACTGGCCAACACTTCAGCTATCAGCAAAACACATGGCACTTATAAAGAAGAGCAAAACAGATACTTCGGATTTCGCTAATAATTTAACAAATGCTGTGGTGCATAAGAAAACATATTTATCTACCCGAACTTGAAATTAAGGAGATAAGTGAGACTGCCCCAACTGTTTCATATTTACATAATTGTATATGCATAAAGATGCCGAGATTCAGACAAAAAATAAACTCTCAACAAGGCTGTATGACAATACGGATAATTTGAACTTCCTAATAGTCATCTTTCCTTTACTCTTGCACATGTGCTTACATATACTCTGCTAAAAGAGTAACTTGACATGCTGTTTTGGAGTTTATTTACTGAGTGCAAACATGAAATCATCACTCAATTTCAGTAAAATCATCCCTTTACAAGTTTTCAAAACATGATTATCCAGAAAGTGTTATGTGAAACCACCCAGGGCTATTAAAGTAAAATGTCAGTATCTGGTGAGACCACCATGAGCATCGATAACAACTTGGCAGCGGCGGCCCATAGAAGAAAGGAAACGTCGAATGCTGTCTTCGGGAATGTTTTGATACTCTTGCTAAAGTGCTGCGTGGGGGACAAATCGGGTGATAGAGAATTTCATGGCAACACCTGAATGTTGTTTTGCTGGAGGCAAACACGTACGCGTGGTCCTGGTAAACACGTTCAGCGTGAGGTCGAGCATTGGCATGCTGGTAAGATCCACGTTGATAAAGGGAACGACGTGACGTTCCAAAATCTCGTCTCTATGGAGAACCCCGTTCAATGCACCTGCCACGTGCACAAGAGCTGTCCGGCCATTAGTATGGATACCTGCCCACACCATGACACTTTCACTACCAAATCTATCGATCTGCTATACACAGTTATCGGAGTAACGTTCGTTCAGTCTGTCTGTATACACGTGAACGACCATCAGCACGTCTGAGAAGAAACCAAGACTCATTTGAGAACAAAATTGTCCTCCATCTTGGCCGCGTCCATGTCACTCGTTGTCTGCACCATTGTGCACTGTGTGTCAAGACGTTACGTCGAACTGGTCTTCTGGCAAAAAAGTCCGCCTTCCCGTAGCCGATTGCGCACTATCTGGTCGCAGATTCGGCGCAGTCCAGGGATTTGGGTTGCTGTGGATGTTGCGGTCGTGGTGCGTGAACGAAGATATTTCAACCGGATGTAGCGATCCTGGGCGGCGGTGGTAACTCTTGGCCGACATGACCTGAGTCTGTCAATAACACTCCCAGTAATGTTGTATCGGGTCCATAGGTTTGAGATGGTCTGTCTGGAGGAAGTGCCTTGCCATCATATGCTGTGATGCCCCTCCTTGTGAAAGGCCGATGGCGTTGTGTCGTTGAGCTTCTGTCAGTCTTGGCATTTTTTGTCTATACTGGCTTAATCTTTTCCCGGTGTTTACCTCTGAGATAAATGCACACAGAGCAGCAAAAATGAAGACGACACCAAACAGGATCCTGGCCACCTTCGGCGACTTATAACAGCATATGGTGACGGCGTCTTTGACGTTAAACGATTCCAAGTAGTGAGCCATGTCTTCCCCAAATAATATCGTGAACAAGCATGTCGAGCAACCCACATCCTGAACAGTCCACACACAACGTTTCGGCGTTCATGTTTTCAGTAACGACACGAGTACTGCAACGATTGATAGTACAGGCGTTGATGTTTATCCTAAAGCGTGGTGTATTGAGTAGGAAGTGTCTCCATTTTGTTGAAATGAACCAACGCGGATATGATTTGGAAATTATCTGTACATATAAACGAGAGTAGAGAATATATTGTCATACAGTTTTATTCGTCATTCAATGATGATTAAAAGTATTTACAACATATGTCTGGGGCATCCTGCGCTGAGCTCATTAGCGTCTTCTTCATAGCGTTTTGTTAGATAGATCATTAGCCCTGCTTATAATCCTTGATTTTTCGACATAGTACCTATAAACGTTAATTTCATCAATCGTGAGCTATCAACATTTCCTTCTCCTTCAGTAAAATGACACACCGTCAGCAGTGCCCATCCCCTTCCACTCCTCACTCACTCTACAGCATTACTTGCGCTTCTAGTTTCATTTTCTTTCTTCAAATCCACCATTTACAGAAACACGCGTGTTTTCTAGTACACGTGGTATTAGGTGAAAGGTGGTTACCTTTGAGTTCAGTATAGTAACCAACTGATTAGTCTTAGCCATGAAGAAGGCCCATTTCACCGAAAATTGGTTGTCTTGAAACGCAAATTTGTATGTAATTTACACGTTTACAGAGGCCATCAAATATGGTGAGTATTCCCAACATGGAGAAGATATTCTGTGAAATATGAAAACGCAGTGTGCAATTGTGTATGTTTATTTTTGAGAAGTTGAGACAATAAAAAGTACAATAGAAAGATGAATAATTTAGCTTTTGTAACAACTGACTGACTGACTGAGTTTGGTTTTACGCCGCTTTTAGCAATATTCAAAAGAATATCACTGCGGGGACAACAGAAATGGGCTTCACTCATTGTACCCATGTGGGGATTCGAACCCGGGTCTTCGGCGTGACGAGCCAACGCTTTAACCACTAGACTACCCCACCGCCCCAGCTTTGTAACAAAATATTACTAATCATGAATACAATATGGGACGAAACTTTGAAGGTGAGGTGAGGTGAGGTGAGGTGAGGTGAGGTGAAATTGGGTTTTACGTCATGGTTGAAAATATTTCGCTCATATGACGACGTGCATGCGTGTGTATGTGTATATGCGGCTGCTTGTACTAGCCCAGACTGAAGCTGGTTTTATAGTGCTAGCCCACTTAAATACCGTGCCGCAGTGAAGCATGAATACCCCACTCAGACACATTATACGTCTCCGAGCCGACCAGTCCTTGTTGTACCAATTAATGCCGTGCACCAGGCAGGGACCAACAAGTACCATATTTTAACGTCGTTTGGTATGACGCGGTCGGGGATCGAACCCGCGACCTTCCGCTCTCCGGGCGGACACGAAACTTTGAAGAATATATACTATCAATCAATGCAAACATAAAATCTAATTGACAGTCTTACTGACACGGAATACAATCAACAGGGTGGACATGTATATGTATGCATACCAGCAGATGTTTCTCTATACAGACACTATACAGAGAGCGAGGGACATGTCATGTATACGTCAAAACACTTACTCATGCGACCTGTTACGATTGGGCAGCTTCAATAAAAGCAGCCGTGTTGGTGCAAGTTGGCCTAGGATCCACAGGCCAGTATCTCCACCATGTTTCATCAACAAACACTGCAGATAGTTTGAAAGGGTAAACATATGAAGATATGTGTTAGGCAGATGTGTAGGAAGACACAAATCATGTTTCTGTCACAATGTAAAGTACAATTTATTGTTTGTTTCATAACACATTGAGAATTCCATGGGATTGTGAATACTGAGTTAATAGTCGTATATCATTGAAGCCAGTATTAGAGTGTGTTAGAATAGGCCATTGGCCATTCCGTGAGAAATCTCAGTAGGTAATGTCCATGCGAAATAAATATATATCATGGTTATAGAAGAAGTTCCACTATGAGAAAAAGATTTGACACGTAAACATCGGTCTTTATTTTGTTCCGGTCATTGTTTGGGATTGTGACCATTCTGACCTTTACAGTCCAGAAGTTCTTTCCCTCCGTCTTCCAATGCAGTTGAATATGGCTGAAAATACAAAACAATTCATGAAATACATTAAAGATGTAAAACACAGATTAGTATGTCAACGCTTCATAAATATTCAATATTACTACCATATTTATTATTGCCAGAAAATATCTTCATAGAGTAGTTATAGTCTGTTTGCAGTGAAAACGTACCGATGAAATTCACTTTAAACAAAATGTAAATCAAATAAAGAGAAATTAAGATTGCGAATCCTCATAATTTTACCTTGCCATTTCAAATCTAAATCTCAGATTTTTATTCAACTTAGGATAAAAAGTTGTTTAACAAACGATCATAGTTTCAAATCGGTATTATTGGTTTGCATTACAAGGGTTATGCACATTAAATGAAACACCGAGAACAAGGAGGGTTGGTCTAAGTTAACGCTCATCACGTACCACACGTGCATTTGTTTCACTGTTCCAACTACTGCGCTTACCCCTTGTAATACAAACCAATATAAGCGATTTGAAACAATGATTGTTTGTTAAACAACTTTCTAAGTTGAAAAAAAATCTAAGATAATTTTGAATTGGCAAGGTAGAATTATGAGGATTCTAATCTAAATTCACTGTATTCGATTTACATTTTTGTTTAAAGTGAAATTCAACGGTACGTTTTCACTGCAAACAAGAGATTGACAGAACTGTGTTCAAATGTACTGTCCACATTATTATCCCCTGCAACCTTTGGGTTGCAAATGAGTGCTCTCCGCCATTCACATATTACAAGTCAAAGACCATTTCGTATTTATGATCACACTTTGTACAGGGGGAGACTAACTATAAATTGTTGCATGTAGTTATTGGGGAACTTTGGATCAAAGTGATCAACTCAAGTGGTCAACTGTTTCCATGTATGTTTCTAACGAGCATAAGGCACCACTTTATCCATTGATGGTCAATGCCCTAAGTGATCTCTTAGTGAGTAAGTGAGTGAGTGAGTTCAGTTTTACGCCGCACTCAGCAATAATCCAGCTGTATGGCGGCCGTATCTTATTAACACCATCTCATGGTCAATGAGTGAGTGAGTGAGTTAAAATGTATCGTCACATCGGCAATATTTCCAGCCATGTCGTGACGAGAAGAATTATTTTTATACATATTAATTAATGGCAAGTTGTAAAAACCTGTCAACGAAGGACAGTAAAATAACTAGATTATCACAGATTTGAATTTAAAACTAGTAAAGTAGATCTAAAACAGTTTAACTATAGATGACAATACAAGGTAAAACAGGCCATATATTGCCAACAACTGAAGGTAGATCACCACACTAGGGACCATCTCAATGAGATTGCTTAAGGATTAACATGGTGGGTATAGATATAGTATTAATCAGAGTGCCACACGACTTTGACTCTGACTCATCAAGATTATAACATGCAAGGCCTAAGTGAAGCTTCCAAACTTGTTTTTTCAAACTTATTTTCAGGCGAACAATTGACTTAACCTAAATATTTCCTCTTAAGATATATTAAAAATGCATGCATCCCACTGGCGAATAAGGACACGAAAATAGATAATACTGTGTTACAAAACATACTCCTTATGTTACGTACCATATATGAAGGGGTTAAGATAGGGGTTGCAGTCTCCAGGCAGGCTAAGACTGTAAAGGCGGTTATTGAAAGCAATCTGTGGTGCCGAATAGAAAATACATATTAACATGTCACATTAAAATTCACCCTTTGGATGAAAACAACATATGATTAATTATGTGTCGGTCGCATACGTTTTATTATTGAAGTTTAAAACTACCCATGCTCTTACCAAACAGTTAATATTTCCTACTATATATGATCGTATATTAAGCCATGACTATATTCATCGCGATCTTCTTCTAACATGAAACGATTTAGGAATTCATGGCTTCTCCTTCAGACAAACTTAGGGGCCATACACGTGCTCACCGTTTGTACCACAGTGATCAACGACAGACATTCGTCACCTCTGGCATCCCTTCCTCTTTGAGATTGAAACCCGTGAAGATGCACATAAGTTAAATGCGGCATCACACACAAATCGCCTATTGGAAGGTGTTTGTTTTTTCCATAAATATAACTTATTCTCTCTCTCTCTCTCTCTCTCTCTGTCTCTCTCTCTCTCTCTCTCTCTCTCTCTCTCTCTCTCTCTCTCTCTCTCTCTCTCTCTCTCTCTCTCTCTCTCTCTCTCACACACACACACACACACACACACACACACACACATAGTAATATTTGTATAGCACCAACATCCAGCTCATCTGCTCAAAGGCGCTTTGTTTTCCTCGAGCAATGGATGTCAATCTCAACAGCGCATCGTATTTTCAATCTCAACTCCCTGGGGATCACACAACTCATGCAGCCATATAGTCACAGTACTTTGTCCAAGTTTACTGCACGTTACCACAGTTACCGTTGTAGCCTGTATCCGATGGCCTGATTACCTGATCGCGGTAGTCGCGTGTCAAGACAACCGTGGGTTGACCATTGTGTAACTCACCCGCTGTCGGTGATGAGTTTCACTATCGTTTCAGGTGCCAAACTCTTCACCAACAGCGGCAGCTGTACATACTCAGTATGTCAATACCTGGCCCAACCTTTATACACTCAAATGATTACTTTGTTCAAAGAAAGCTTAATATGTTAAAGAATTGTCAAAATTTATTAAATGTATCAATAGAAGGTTAGAAATAAATACATGTAATTGAATGTTGTATCATTCTCTAATGACACCCTTGTACATTTGAATATGTATGTACATGTATATTGTATTGTGCATTATCCTACCTCAATTATATCTCTCCGATGCCATCTTGGTGTATATGTGTATATAACGTTTTTCACTTCACTCATGTACCACCGTCGGTGGAAGTTGAGAAAATATAAACCTTCGAACCTTCGCTAGCGATCATTTTACCCAGATCTTCATCAGAGAGTTTAGACAGTTAGATAATCGAATCTAGACCAAACTATCTACTTGATCTACGGAATTGGGTTACGATAACATGATACCCGAGGTTCAGACTATCCGATGCTGTACGTCGGGTTGCAGGGGTTGCAATAGATCACTTCTAAAAAGTATCTTTATTTGTCAATTAAATTATATATCAAAGTAATAGGTAGTTATGTTCCAAATGTTTTCAGATAAATAAAACGCCACATTACCCAAAGAACCAATAATACACAATGAAGGGGCCAATGCAGAGGAGGAATACCACATCTGAAAAATATATTTGCATGTTCTTTAGATTCTCGAGCATCAACAAAACAACATCTGTATGTTATAATCCGATCTAGTTGCGTGTTCTTGCAAATACATTAAAATGATTGCATATCATACCATAAAATCATTTTTACTATTGTTACTCTGAACTAAGCCATGGTATAACTGCAATACTCTTCACAGTGGCATTTAACTCAATAACTCCTCCCTCACTATACTCAAGTACACAAATTTAAGGCGATGCCAGTTATCTTAACTTTCTTTCACTTTCAAGAAGGTTACGGTTGTAATAAAACCAACGGAAAACCTGGTTTTAGTTTGCGTTAACAAGGTCAGTCATCCATACCGTATGCCAAAACTATTCCAATATCTCTGCCAATGAACTGAACGTCTGTGGAGGCGTCATCATCACTAATCGTCTTCTCATAGCTGAGTGTTCCTGAGAAAGATCACCAGACAGTCTGTCTTGAACCTTGACTTCACAACATTACACCATCTTAAACGACGAGATATCGGAGATCGATTATCGATTGACTTCTACATGATAGACCAATTCTTTAATCGTGCAATATCGTGAAACAGCAAAAGCTATGCATTCTGAATATCCTCTACAGATTTAAGATATGGAGCATAACAATACTGTACTAAACTCCAAGAAAATTTTTTTTACAAACACGAAAAGCTAAAATGTCCTTATTGTTTTACCTTTTTACAGCACCATACAAACAAAGATGGTAGCCCAAAAGTAACATCATTAGTAATGGGAGTAAGAAATAGATCACCATGTCCACCAATGGTAGTACCACATAGATCACTACTGAATCCAAATCACAATCATATGCCTCGTTACTATGTCCCATGGCTTTCAGCTGGTAGAAGTAGAACTGAAATGAAACGAGACTGAAAGTCAACTCAAGAAGCATTCGGTGTACTTTTCATTCTGTCATTGATATTCAAAATACTTAGAGAGCTCTCACCAGTAATACTGTATACGTAATTAAACGTTCAAATCAACTGTAATACCAGTTTCAAATAGACAAAACAAATCAAGTGATGGTTGCTTTTGCCAAATGATCAAAAGGTCCGCTCCATAACACTGCAAATAATGCTTCAATTCTCATTAGGGGATACAAAGTCAAAATCCTGTTCTTTCCCCAACCTCGCAGGGTTATGGATTGTATACAACATAGGGCAATGAAAATACATTTCACGATATCATTCTCCAATTTTTCTTACCTTAACGCCACTCATAATGAAGGCAGTTACAAAGGATAACAGTAGGAAGACGATACGCAACGCCTTGATGATGCGACTGCAGGCGATGGTGAAAAGATTATCGATATTGAATCCAGCTAGGACGAGGTGGGACATAGTAGCTCCAAACATCTGAAGACCTGAAAATATTTTACATCCGTAATATCCACCCCTCCATACAACGGTCGCAAACATCCCGATGTTGCCACCGCATCGGATGCACAAACCCAGCACGTCAGCAACACAAATGGCAAGGAGATAGAAATGCATCCTGCTGCCTGTCTTCCATGATTTGTAGAGAGACCAGATCATCCATATGTTGGTACAGACTCCAATGTATAGTAGAACGCTGTTCACCACAATTTCCGTCGTGTATGTTGTTGTCTGTATAATACTGTCGTAATCATAATCGTATGTGTAGTTACTTGAGTTGGCAAATTCCATATCCATGTTTAAGCACGAGACGAATATCCGTCACGCAGTTCTTAACGTTCAACGCTTCTGGTGTGGAATGTGTTCAACAAACTGGATGACTAACAAATACAAGAGGTAATTGTAGATCATTAAGGTTGGCAGGATACTTGGGTGGGTTAAACACGACATAATTTTGGCCATGGTAATAATTATTTGCTTGGCATTTCAAAGACGTCGACACAGTTACATTGCAGTGTGAAAGGTTATCATCGCATGCTTCTAGAATAGAATATAGAATTATATAGAGAGTGAACTGGGTTCAATTCTTCCTTGAATTGGCGTATGAGTATTATGTCGCAGGAAAGTTAAACCTGATGCAGATCTAAGACGTTTACCAATTTGCTGAAATCTGGAGCTGGAATATTTCGCTGACAGACTTAGAAGCATAAATGGGGATTTGACCACAGTGGCGATGCATCTTGCATGCTCAAGGGGCAAATGAGCCACCCGTGCCCGCTACACGGTTGGACGAAAGTGTAGGACATCAGTTTAGTTGCATCGTTATCAATTAACACTGAAGCCGGTTTCACTGATTTTCTAGTGACGATACCTTATAACATGTAAGTTATGCACCTGTAGAGCATGATAAAAGAGAAAATCAACAATTTGACTAATTAGTGGCAAAAGTATGCTTGTGGATCTCCCTATTTTGACCTGCTAAGCATGTTCTTGTACCGTGCCTTTACATATGTTTGTGACGGATGCGACTGGTGGGTCAGGATAAGCTGACATGTTCGCGATCACCAGTCGGTGTCATCACTATATGACAGTGAGTCATAAACACTTACCTGTGGACGAAACAGTACAATCGCACACGTTTTTCAGAGAGATTTCAAAGGACGTCCCATGAACCTTGTTCAAACGTTGATCAGAGCTAGAAATAACATGATAACAACATTGTTCCAAAACTACTCGACTGATATACAGAGGCAATTTTGCCTTTATGTCGAGCAATATTCCGACGGCTTTTGGTCTCTACGCTTCACAACGTTGAGGTTCCATCACACACGCGCCTTCCACTGAGATTTCAAAGCGTCATTATTGCATCATGTTTTGCTCTGCAACATAACACACAGCACCTCCATGTGCATAATGTCCTTCAGAACGAATTCTGTTGCTCCATATAAACTTTCGATCATAAGGGATAAATATTTCAATTTGAAAACAGTTAAGGATCTGTTTACCACGGTTAATTTTCAAATGACGTTAAAGTATCGTAAAATTATTGTCCTCCTGAGAGGGTACGTAAGTCCCCAAAACTTTTGAAGTAAAAAATAAACTTACCACATTTTTAAACGTAGTATGTTAAACGTAGTCGGCTAAATTTTCCTACAATCGCCAGTGGCTGAAGGGATGGTGTAAAATCCAGCTACGGTCCATGCAAGTAGCAAAAGTAATGTAAGTCCCCATGGTTCCTAGCATTGTGATCTACCTTCAGTTGTTGGCGATCTATAACCCTGTTTCATACTGTATTGTCTTATTTAATCAAACTGTTTTAGTTTTACTCGCTAGTTTTATATTCATATATGTGATTCTCTAGTATATTTACTGTTCATCGTCGACAGGTTTTAATCAAGAGGTTTTCACTTTTTGATTGTATAAATTGTTTTCGTCACGATATGGCTGATATATTACCGATGTGACGTTAAATATTAACTCCTCCTTTCATATAAACTTCAAATAGGGTGAGTGGTGAGTGAGTGAGTGAGTTAAGATTTTAAGTCACATCGGCAGTATTTCAGCCATATTATGACTAAATCAAGTTGTAAATATATTCACAATTTAAAATGAATTATAACATGCAGGACAGTAGACAACTAGGTTATCACAGATATAACTTTAAAACTAGTAATTAAATCTAAAATATTGAACTATACATGACAATACAATATAAAACAGGCTATATATTGCCAACAACTGAATGTAGATAACCATACTAGGTACCATGGGGACTTACAGTACATTTGCTTCCTGCATGGACCCTAGCTGGATTTACACCGTCCCTTCAGCCCTTAGCAATTCAGCAATCTAGCCATATATTAAAAAGACACGTATTCTACGATTAAAAAGTGGAACGTTTTAATTAACTTGAATGGTTTGGGACTTACATTACCCCTCTCGGGGGACAAATAATTTACAGTACCGTAACCCACCCACCCCATTTTGAGGATAACTTCAAATGGATTAGGAATATCTAAACGTCAGACGGTTGATACAGCACATGATGAACCGCTATATATTTCTTTAACGTTCATCTAAGTAGATTGCTAAACAGCCAGAACTCTAAATGTATGGTTTGAGCAAGCAGGAGTTATTTGTTTCTAACGCTGTTGCAAACATAAAGTGAAATGTTCACTTTAACAGAAACATTTTCCAGTGTTGACCTCTGAGATAAATGCACACAGAGCAGCAAAGATGAAGACAACAAACAGGATTCGACGACTTATAACAGCATATGGTGACGGCGTTGTTGACATTAAATGATTCCCAAGTAGTGAGCCATGTCTTCCCCAAACATCGGGAACATGCATATCGATGCAACCCACATTCCAAAAGTCCACGCGAACGTCGCTGCCCATGCAATATAGATACCAAAGTGAAGACAAGGTAAAGGAAGTCGGCAATGCAAGGACTGGGAATGAAGAACTGATGTTGGACGTCCATGTTTTCACAGCAACACGCTGCTTAGTACAGGTGTGGTGTATTCAATCGGGAGATGTCTCCATTTTGCGGAAATGAACCAACGCGAATATGGTTTGTACGTCTTGTATATGTGCATGTAAACGAGAGTATATAATATATTGTCATACAATTATATTCGTCATTCAAAGAAGATTAAAAGTATTTTCTGATATTCAATGAATTAGGAATAATTTCAGTCCAGAACATATGTATGGGGCATCCTGCGTTGAGCTCATTAGCGTATTCTATATAATGTTTTGTTCGATGGATCATTAGCCCTGATTATAATCCTTGATTTTTTCGACATAGTACCTATAAACGTGGTTTCACCAAACATGTGAACTATCACTATTTCCTTCTCCTTTAGTAAAATAACACACAGTCAGTAGTGCCCACCCCTACCACTTCTCACTCACTTTACAGCATTACTGGCGCTTCTAGTTTCAGTTTCGTTCTTCAAAATCCACCATTAACAGAAACACGCTTGTTTTTCGAGTTGTTTAGTGCACATGGTGTTAGGTTACCTTTGAGTATAGTATAGTAACCAACTGATTAGTCTAGACGCACCGAAAATTGGTTGTCTTCAAACACAAAATTGTATGTGATTTAGACGCTTATATAGGCCATCAAACATGAGGTGAGTGAGTTTTGTTTTACGCCACACTCAGCAATATTCCAAACATGGAGAAGATATTCTGTGAAATATGAAAACGCAGTGTGCAACTATGTATGTTTATTTCTGTGGAGAAGTTGAAACAATAAAAAGTACAATAAGAAGGAGAATAATTTAGCTGTTGTAATATAGCATGAGTAAAAGTAATCATGAATACAAAATAGGACAAAACTTTGAAGAATGTATAGCTATCAATGCAAACATAAAATCTAATTGACAGGCCAGCTGAAAAGGAATACAATGAACAGATTTGACATGATCTGTACGCTACAAGTGGTCACAACTGACGTGTATGTTGTATGTTATTTCAGCAGTGAAACTATAATTCTATTTCATTAATTGATTGTTTTATTGATTTGAAAGAGCGTAAATATACGTAATCCAGGCCAGGAAACAGAGAGTATGCAGATCTATTGCTAAGAAAGGCTGTAAGAGACGTTAAAGTGAAAGTAGTAACTATACATGTATACAACCGTTTGTCTTATGGTTCCATGGAGACGTTATCGTGGTATCATACTATGTTGACACAGAGCAGGTCTTTCAGTATACAGAACATTGCGAGTGAGGGGCATGTCATGTATACGTCAAGAAAACTTTACACATATGGGGCATATCAAGGTGGGGCAAATATCATAGAAGTAGCCCTTTTTGTGTAAGTTGGCCCAGGATGCACTTGTCAACATTTCCACCATCTTTCATCAACACACAGCACAGATAGTCATAGGAAAAGTAAAATAAAAACATATGAACATCTGTTTGAGGCGAACATGTTGCCATAAAAGAAACGGTGTTTCTATCACAATGCAAATAAAATATTTTTGTGTGTCGTACCACACTAAGTGAGTGAGTTAACTTTTACGCCGCACTCAATATTCCAGCTATATGGCGGCGGTCTGTAAATAATCGAGTCTGGACCAGACAATCCAGTGATCGACAGCATCCGCAATTAGGAACCGATGGCATGTGTCAACCAAGTCAGCGAGAGCTGACCACCCGATCCCGTTAGTCGCCTCTTTCGACAAGCATGGGTTGCTGAATATCAACATTCGAACCCGGACCTTCACGGGTCTAACACACTAAGAATTCCATGGGAATATGGGTATTGTAGTTGTAGTTGTATATCGTCGAAGCTTGTACAAATCCGTGTTAGAATAGGCCGTTAGCCATTCAATAAGAGATCACAAACGGGATCGGGTAATCTGACTTGGATGAAGCTTGACATCGTAGCTCATTGGAGTATCTAGTCAGGACTCGACGTTTTACATATGGCTGGGATTTTGTGTGCGGTGTTACATCTTTGGAGGATGCTTTCGGTGAAGCACAAACGTCTTCATTGATACAAAAGATACTCATGTATGTACAAAGCTTCCAGTAGGTAATGTTCTATCGGAATGAATATATATCAGGGTTATAGAAGAAGCTCCACAAAGAGAAAAGAGATTTGAGATGTAAACATCGGTCGTCATTTCGTTCCGGTCATTATTTGGGATTCTGACTATTCTGACTTTTACAGTCCAGGAGACGTTTTTTCCTCCGTCTGCCAATGCAGTTGAATATGGCTGAAAATACAAGAATTCATAAAATAATTTGGAGATGCAAAACCCAGATTAATTTGTCAAACATTTATAAATACCCAATGTAACTACCATACTTATTGTAACCAAAAAAACATCTTCGTAATGCAGTTTGTAGGGTGAAAACAAATGCTTGTTTGTTACTGTGGGGACAATATTGAATTTCCCAAATGTTTTTCAGGCGAAAACGTGACTGAAAATAAATATTTTCTCTAAAGATATATTTAAACTGCGTGTATCCCTTTGGCGATTAAGGACAAGAAAATAGATAATATTGTGTTAAAAATACCCCTTATGTTACTTACCATATATGAAGGGGTTAACACAGGGGTTTACTACCCACAGGTAGCCTAAGATTGTGAAGACGGTTATTGTATGCCATCTGTGGAGTAGAAAATAGATATTAACAAGTCACGTCATATGACGAACTGTGTGTCGGTCGTATACGTTTTATTAATGTGGTTTAAAAACTGCTAAAGCTGTTACCGAGCAATTCATATTTCTAATTGTACATGATCGTATATCATCGTATGTAAAGCCATGACGAAGGGTTAAGACAGGGGTTTGCAGTCTCCAGGTGAGGCTAAGACTGTCTGTGGTGCGGAAAAGAAAAAATACATATTAACATGTCACATTAAAAATCACACTTTGGATGAAAACAACATATAGTGAATTATGTGTCGGTCCTATACGTTTTATTAATGAGGTTTTAAAAATGCCAAAGCTGTTACCGAACATCGCTATCTTCTTCTAACATGAAAAGCTTTAGGAATTCAAGGGTCCTCCTTCAGACGAAGGTTTGTCAGAGCCTTATACCTGCTCATGTTTTTGTAGCAGTTATCAACGACTGAGACATGCGTCACTTTTTGGCAGTAGTTCCTCTAAGAATTTGATACAACTTGTTTTAGTTAAATTTGGCTTCACACCAAACTCGCTCTAATCTAACGTTACCTTCTGCTAACATGAACAGATTTTAGTATTCGAGGGTCAACCTTCAGACAGGAGATGCAATACTTCGGAATTTCCTCCTGTGTAAGCTGTACCACAGTCGTCACACAACTTGCATGAGTTAAATGCCCAACTCTCTTATTCGAAGGTGTGTGACTGTGGCACTGCAGTGATTGTTGATAACGCTACTATTCCCAATTTGGAAAAAACTGACATGCCAGCTTTTATGTGGGAAGGATGGACAGTGGAAGTGGAATCCCTCTGCATTACGGCTGGTACGGAAGCGGAAAGGTTATGACGTGTGTTGTCGATGTCATGCCCACTAGATCTAAACCCGGTTTGAAGTATGGCGGAATACAGCCGCGTTTGCGCTGCTGACGAATCAGTGTTATATGATGACAAATTCTGGCAGTTTTCAGTCCTGTGCCAAGTAATCTGAACTATTTCCCTTGCTTCAACCCCAGCGTAACGGTGGTGAAAGCGCCGATGTCTCGACATGTTTGCTTACAAACAAAAGGGTCAACGAGTTCATTGTACTCATACGCGGACAATCGGTTACTTTAATTAGCGGTCCTTAACTGCCAATTAAGTACGTTTTGGTGAGCTCTCAGCCAATCAGAATCAAGCATCACAAAACGTCGAGCTGGAATGTATATTGACGGTTGTTTGATGTTTCTACCCGAACCCCTTCGTCACGTCTTACGACAAACACGGGTTACTAAAGATCAGTACGTTAAGGTACCACTATTGGTCAGTTTTTCTTGTATATCTAAGTAACAGGAAGTGATCTTCCAATTGTATTCAGATAAACAAGTATATCCTCGTATAATCGGTTTTCGGTCACATAAAAAATCCCGCCGCGTATTTCAGACGATGCATAATAAATCTTGATATTGTCTATCTTACCCTTGAAAGTGGTTATTTATTGACAACATAAATAAATACGATAAGATTACCTCGTGTTTCAACACTTCTGTCGGCCGCTAACTTTGCTGTCCAAACATCGCTGCATTGAAGTGACGTCATCAGTTTTCGTTCAAATGATTGGTCGGCTGTTTTAAAAGGTTTACAGGAGGCGGTATAGCGGTGTGGCAGGGACATAATTTTATAGGATGCTGGTGTCAATCAAAAGTCTCAGCCATATCTATACAAGTTAACATTCGTCGCACACAGAAACGAAAAGAATAATTCAAAAATATTTCACAAGAAAAGTCCATGTACATCACTGGCATGATAAATAATCTTCACAAGTTATTCCTCCTTCTCATCATGACACGGACACCAGAATTCTGACGTGGCACGAACAACTCTTACGGGTGTGCATACTTTCAGGTGAACCCAGTGTTTGCACGATGGGTGTGTGCATTCTGCCCATGAGACAAACACGATGCTCTGGCATCCTTCGAGTTCCTGTGGTGTAAATCTGTGACACTGACAGCAAAGTTCATCATCTGTGATCTCATTTTCTTCGTCAGAAGAATCAACGACGGGATCGATTCTACGGGAGTAAATGCCTGATGTACCTGGCTGAGGAGACGATGATTTATCTGTCATGATGTTTTGTCTCGATTTTGGTGTTTTATTTGCAGATTTTCTTTTCTTCACAGGGGGATTGCTAACTTGATGTTCTCTAACTTTCTCCATAATTGAATCCTCTGTAATGGCCTTGCCACCGACGACCGCACTAAGAACTTTCCTCTTCTTTGTAGACTGTGATTTATCAGTCAAAACGCTTTGTTTTGAAAAAAGAAAGTTCTTGACAGACGATGTTGTTGTTTTGTCGTTAGAATTGTCGACACGTTCGGATCTATCAGCGTCTTCACATGGGGTGTGAAAAACAGTTGAAGGGGCAAAGTTAATGCGACTTACAGTACTGTTATCAAATGGATAAATCCCACACGTCTTGAACGATGACTGTAGATTGGATGGAGTTAATGCCAAGGAGTACGCTTTACATGCCAGTTCACAAACGGAATGTTTTGCAACAGCAACGATGGAATTGTTCCTCATGAATTTATGTCGGAGATTGTTGTAAATCTTGGAAAAAGGTCCAAAACAGCAGACGTCCAAAGGTTGTAAGACATGTGACGTGTGCGCCGGTAAAACAAACAATATAATGTTGTGTTCACGAGCCCAGGTTATCAGTGATAATGACACATGCGATCTATGTCCATCATAGAGAATAAGCAAGGGACGATCAACAGACGCTGTGACGGAATTCTTCAGGAAATGGTGTTCAAGATATTGACGAAATATTTCGGAATTCGACCATCCAGAATCAGAAACGGTTCCGGCTGCTCCTGGTGTCGATCCTGTCATGTTTTCTTCACGCATTCTTTTCCCCTTGAAAACAAAATACGGGGGTATTACGGCGCCTGAAGCACTACCGCACCCTATAATCGTAGTAGTGCTAGATCTCGGACAGGTGACAGCATATGGGGTGGCCTGACTTGACGATACCACAGACGGAGGAGTGTGGTTTTCCACAATTCCCTTCTCATCAATGTTGTATATCCGATGTGGGTTATCCTTCAAGTTGTACTTGTCAAGAATCTGTCCAAGTTCTTTGAAGTAGTGTCCGACCGTTTCCTTGGACGTAGCCTTCGCACGCTGTAACTCAAGTGATCTTGGTTTTTGGACTTTGAGATCAGGCCAACGCGACAAGAAATTATAAAACCATTGCATAGACAGTGGTTTGTCGGTTTTGGATTTCTTCCCCAGATGAATTGCTAAATCAGTAGCAAGGTCGGCAACTTCAGAACGTGTATATCCAAAGCCAAAATCGGCCATTGCTTGAATATGAACAACAAGATTTCTCTCCTCTTCGATTGACAACAAAGGCTCAGGACCAGACTTTAAACACTCCACTCCAATATTCCCACTAGTACGGTCACGGAGAGTAGCAAAGGGAACAGAAAAGTTTTTAGCAGCTTTCCTAACAGACATTCCGTCAATAACGGCTTCATAAGCATTTTCCAAAGCCTCAGATGAATATTGGCGGTATTGTCCCCTTCCAGTATACTGGCCATTCGTCAAAACCTAAACAAAATATATGCTATTAATCTCTGTTCAGAAACAACGATTTGCTGTTTTTCGAAAAACGATAAGAGATGACCCTTCCCATCTTCCATAGATTTTTTTTACGATGGCAATGTCACGTGATATATCATGTGACAAAATGATGACAAGATGTAAACAAGCAGACGACGAGTTACTGTGTAATTTACAAGCTATGATTTATCAAGATGTAGCATTTATTTGCAAGTCACTTTTTTACATTAGTAATCTCAGTCGTAAAATAGGAGTTTCACATCTATTTATTGATATTTACCTTGCTGAACTTGACACGAAGCATTTTTCGTAGTCGAGCGATAAAATTCCGACTCTCGGCTGAATGTATCTGCCTGATGTCGCGAAATCTCGTAGCGTATCGTGAAAAAACTTATACAAAATGGCTGACCGAAAACCGATTCCGAACGAAAACATATGACGGTGGGATAACTGCAATACTCTTCACAGTGATATTGAACTGTGTTAGCTTCATCACCAACACTTTCAAAGGGGACTATAGTTGTAACGAAGGAACAACTGATTTTTAGTGTTGTTTATGTTACTCTGAACCTAGCCATGCAAGACTCCGCTCCTCACTATATTCAAATGCACAAAGTACAGCGATGCCAGATATCTTTATGTTTGACGTATTCTGTGTCCAGCCTCATCACCAACATTTTCAAGAAGGTTAGGGTTGTAGTAAAACCAACGGAAAACCTGATTTTTAGTTTGTGTTAACAAGGTCAGTCATCCATACCGTATGCCAAAACTATTCCAATATCTCTGCCAATGAACTGAACGTCTGTGGAGGAGTCATCATCACTTGTCATCTTCTCATAGCTGAGTGTTCCTGAAGAAAGATCAACACTCAATCTGTCAAACATTATTCCATGAACCTAGACTAGACTTCACACCATCTTAAACGACGTATCGAGATATCAAAGATCTTTTAAGGATTGACTTCTATATGGTCTACCAATTCCATAATCATGCAATATCGTGAAACAGCAAAACTATGCACTCTGAATATCCTCTACAGATTTAAGTTATGTGACAAAACAGTACTGTACTAAACTCAAAGAAAAGTAATTTTGAAAGACGCGAAAAGTTCAAACTGTATTTCCTTATTGTTTACCTTTTTACAGCACCATACAAACAAAGATGGGGAGCCCAAAAGTAACATCATTAGAAATGGAAGTAAGAAATAGGCCGCCATGTCCACCAATGGTAATAACGCATAGCCAAATGCTGAACCAGAACCGCAATAATATGCCTCGTTACTGTGTCCCATGGATCTTAGCTGGTAAAAGTAGAACTGAAATGAAACGAGACAGAAAATCTAAACATAACATAACATTCGGTATACTCATTTCTGTCAGTGATATTTAACATAGTTAGAGATCACTCACCAGTAATAACGGCTTACAAAGTAAAACGTTCAAATCAACCATTGCAGCAACACTAGTTTCAAATACACAAACCGAACAAGTGATGGTTGCGTTTGCCAAAAAGGCAAAGG